GGGTCGCGATTTAGGGTGCAACGCGGCTTTAGGGTTTAGGGTGTTGTGGTTTAGAGTTTAGGGTTTAGGGTTTAGGGTTTAGGGTTTAGGGTTTAGGGTTTAGGGTTTAGGGTTTAGGGTGTTGTGGTTTAGGGCTTCGTAGCTCTGAGGTTTCGGATCTCGGGCTTGGGGTTTTCAGGTTAGGGTTTCTGTCTTGGTTGTTTTGCATTGTCCGTCTTCGCACTTAGTGCGCAGCTTAGAGTTTTAGGGATAACTTTGGGTGCAGGAATCCAGGAATATTGGAGAATTTAGCTAAACCCTAAACCCTGAGCCGCAAACACTGAACCCTAAATGTGTTGAAGTGAATTGCTCTTTTAGGATCAGGTTTCAGGGTCTGGGGGCTTGTTAACGCCTAATTAGGTTTACAGTTTAGGGTTTAGCGCTAGCGCGGCACTCTTCGCTGTTGGTTGAAGATGAGATGATCCCGCAGAAATCGCGGAATTCGGGTTGCTCGTGCCGAACGCCTGGAAGGAAGGGCCTTGTGTTGCACCCTAAACCCACGGGAAACCCTGAAATTCGGATGCCGATCGCAGAGCTTCGACATGGGAGTGCCAGAAGAATATGACACCATCATCAAGGTAAGAACTCCCTGAATACAATTTCGGCAGTACTATGAGGAAGCTCGAAAAAAGACGGGCATAACTTGAGAGAAAGACACATTAGATCTTAGCTGAGCAGCGCAGGGGCGTGGTCTTCTTAATCTTGAACTGAACCTGGCGATTGGCAAGAGTCTGCACGTGCACGGCCTTTACTGTCGGATGTTAGTGTCTAGACAGCAGAATATCCAGCATTGACTGACCTCTTTTTTCAGGAGACCTGTAAACCCACGAACAGGCGAATACACAACGTCGCACGCTGCAAACAACAACATGCCGGCTTATTTCCTTGCGGCTTGCTTGCCTGCTCTCCTCTGACCCGGCCCTAACCTCCAACAAATTCAAACTGCAAGGGTTCTAGCAGAGGGCAACCGAATAAAGACTTCAAGGGCCTCAACCCGAGACGGTTAAGAGCGTG